CGACCCCACGGCCCGGCCGCGCTCGGGCAGCCTGGCAGCGCGGACCTCGCTCCCGCCCAGCCGCCCCGAAAGCGGGCGCCCGGCCTAACCAGCCGCGGGCACTTAAGGGTTTTGCCCAAAACCAAGATACATTTTGGGACGCTCTCCGGGATTTCAAGCCGTCTCCCCTGCAATTTAAAGGGGCTTTGAAGTAAAGAGCAACACGAGGGGCCTTTTTTGTATTTGGACCTCGCATTCCCGAGGCTCCGTGTTTCTCGACCGGGGGGGGGTCAGCAATGAAGAAATCCATCGATTGGAAGGGGCCTGGGACGATCATCGGGTCCAGCCCCCTGCACCAAGCAGGAAAGACAAGGGGGGTGAGGTGACGGTCCAGTCTCCTCTTGAAGATCTCCAGGCTAAGCGATTGCACCACCCCTGGAGGTGTGCTTTGATTTAGAAATTGAAGTGCTAGGATCAAGATCGTTAAAAAAAAAAAAAATCACATTTTTTTTGCAATAGTGAATGAAGCGGGATTTGAGAGTCGAGCCAGAGTTGTCAGTCCCTTTGCAGGCTGGTTTGGGAGCAAGGTGCCAAATAAGTTTGCATCCCGTGGCAGGGAAAGGGTGGAAACAGCGTTTTTGTGTTTTCGAACATTAAACAGGACACAGTTTTAGGACTTCACAATAATTCAGAGAAGGACTCGGAGGAAATGGAGTCTCTGCTCTAGTGCGTGGTTTTATGTAATGTTTGTAGTATCTCATTAAAGCAAACAGCTAAAAAAAGGAGTTCCACAAACTACTAACTTTGGACAGATGTAGTAAGGAGACTATAAGAAGCTGAACACCATTAGCTTCTTCCCCCAGCAGAAGATGCGTACCCTTCATGTCTCCTGAAATGCTTAGGTTACACAAATGGTTTGGGAGATGATTGCAATACTGCAGCTACAGCTAGCATTTCCATTACAAATTCCTAAACATTTACTTAAGACTGAAACTTGGCAAACTCCCAGTGGCATCAATAGTGCAGAACTAGGCCTTACTGCACGTGTGCAGCGCACACTCAAACCTGCTACCGTGTAATATGAACCAAGAATGATCTCTAAGCCAAATCCTTAAGTAGCCACAGTATAATAGAATACAACAGCACTAAAGGAGTTTTTATGCTTTCTCTGGTCATTATTCCTTTGGAGCATGCTGGCGTCTGACATGTAAAAGAATCTCCATTTTATATAAGCCCTTAATTACATACTTACCTGCACCACTGGCTTCTAAGAGTAAACACAAAACCAGATGAACTAAAAACAGTTCTCTAGAAAGCAGACCACACTTGATACTCCTAAATCTGCATTAGTGAAGGATTGCCACCCAGACAGGTTTTTTTTGGGGGGGAATTTAAATTAATTTTTTAACTTTTCCAAAAAACAAAACAAAGAAGAAAAATTACATAATACAAGTATCAGCACAGAAAAAAAATTACCAATAAGAACATTTATTAACATTCAGAATTGTGAATATCATCAACTGACACTGGAAAAATAAGGTCGCTTGCTCTTTTTACATAGAGAAAGAAAAAAAGCTGTTAAACTATTTTACCAGGTTTGGACCAAATATTCTTAATGACAGATGACTTGAAGACTTTCTGGCCTCATAGTGGATGGCACCTGATATTCTATTTAAAGGTAAAGTCTAAAATCAACGTATTTAGTCAGATTGGCTTGAAAAATAGTAGTCAGGATCAGGGACTTGAGTGTGTCATAGGATAATTTTGAAACACTTTAAACAAATATACTCAGATTTTTTTTCAAAGTTGTAAACGATGTGAAACTTCAAAGCTGCCTAAGACTTTTAAAGCAGGTGGCAGAAAGTTGGAAGAAACAGGAGCAAGAAGGGAAAGAATTGGAGGTACAAGAAACTTGACATCCAGTGCACTGTTTCAAAACAAAAATCTAAAACTTAAAATACACATAAAATGGTTATGAAACTGCAGAGTACAGGCAGTCAGTGTTTGGATGACAGGCATAATGTTCAGGCTCAGACCGAGGGAAATTCTGATCATGGAGTCCAAGAAACTAGGAAATATGAGTGCAGCTGAGAAACAAAGGTAGACTATTTCTTTGCCACAATCTTAGTTTAGTTTTCCATAGACTACCCAAACCTGTAATGTACTTTGGCAAGCAAAGCTTAGCCTGGAGTTGGCTAGTAGGGCTGTGCAAAACAGCACCATTTTGTTTTGACTTCACTTTTGCCATTTTGGTGGGTCAGTGTTTTGTTTCGAGTTTCATTTAGTTTCCAAGCACCGTTCTGTTTCATTTCATCGACACTTTCACTGTTTCAGCACTGTTTTGATGTTTTGCCCATAGGCTATAATGGGGATGCATGAAACTGCCTATAAATTTGTAATTTTTTGGCAGATTTGGATGAAAACAGCAGGGATTGTAGCCCCTTCTGAGGGCAGGAAACCTGCCAGGGTTCAAGGATCTAGGTGGAGGGATTTCTGGGAAACTGCATCTCAAAGTCCTGAAAGCAAAACTCGGGTCACTTGTTAGTGTGAAGGCATGGGGGTGAAAACACCAGGCATGGTACCCCTGCTGAGGCCATGAAGCCTGCCAGCTTTCAAAGAGATAGGTGCAGGGGTTTCTCGGAAGCTGCATCTCAAGCGGCTGACAAGCAAAACCTCGTGTGTGTGTGTGTGTGTGTGTGTGTGTGTGTGTGTGTGTGTGTGTGTGTGTGTGTGTGTGTGTGTGTTAAGGCGTCTCCTCGCTGGCACTGGGGCCTCCACATGACACGGTAGTGCGCCCCAATCAGGCCTCCTCCTCCCCTACAGCCTCAGTCTGGTCCACCACTTTAAATACCAACAGGTAAAATAATAACTTAGTGAGCACTAGCACAGTAGCACCAGCAGCATCTCAGGTAGCCAAAATGTGACAGAGCCTTTCTTTCCTCTTCTGCAGGAGCTTCTTCCTCAACAACATGTGTGTTAAGGCACGCCCTCACTATGGCCTTCCTTCCTCTTCCCCCTCCCTCTCCTTACATTTTGTTTCCCTGCAGGCAAGTCCAGGTTCAGTTTTGAAACACCAAATGTTTTGGAACTTTCGAAACATTTCGACTGCCCTCACTTCGTTTCAAGGCTGTTTTGAAGCCGTTCGTTTTGTTTTGATTTTACTGTTTCAAACTCAAAACGAGTCAAAACAGCATTGAAACGAAACAGCTGCCGAAATTTCGCACAGCCCTATGGGCTAGAAATCCCTAAAGCTCTGTGACCCACTAAGCAAAACAATGTATCCATGTATTGACTTCAGTCACACACAACAGGTGGGGACACCTGCTGATCTTCCATTCCATTAAAGCCCTAGTATGACCTTATAAAAGTGGGACACACATTATATCCCATTGTATAAGAGGGTCCTCCTTTCCTCACAAAGCTGCCCGAGTAGTTCTACCCTGGCCTTAGGCAGTAGGGAGCAGAGTACTATGGGATAGAGGGAACAGGCTGGGTATATAGATGAGAGGGATGTAGCTAAAAATGAATTTGTTGTTCCCTGCCACCAAAAGCTTATAAGGCAGCAGAGTATAGGTTAAAGCCTGAAGCAGCCATAATTGACACTGGGAGACATGTCAGCAAAGATTACACCAGTGCAAGAATAGTCTAGAGCAGTGGTTTTCAACCTTTTTTTCATTTGCTCCTTTGAAAATTTCAAGTGGAGGTGCAGACCCCTCTGAATTGTAAGTGTGGGTATGCACATACTTTTGATTGATCATGGTCATCTTTTGCGGACCCTTTAGACATTGTCTGTGTACTCCCAGGGGTCTGCAGACCGCAGGCTGAAAAACAGTGGTCTCAAGTCTTCTTAGCAGCTCTGCCTTTGTTCCAGTACAAAGCCCTGGGATGAACTAACTGAGAAATTATTCTGGCAGTGTGTAGCACATTTTGAACTGGTCTATGAGCATCAAAGAAGTTACCATATTTGTAGCTTCCAGCAATGGTCAAAACATACAGCCTCAACAACAATAGCCCCATTGTCAGAAACCATAAATGCAACCTTTAGTCTTTTCGAGATTTACCAGGAAATAGTCTGCTCCATAAATTACCCCATCAGATTTCAGCTGTCTGGAGTGTAACAAAGATCAGTTCAAATGGATCAGGGAAGTGTATCAATCAGAATTCTCAGCCCAATTGTGCAGTTTAGCAAATACTGTACCATAGATCTTTAGGAAAGAATAAGGTTGTCAATGCTCTGTGCAATGATTAAGAAATTAGTGTAATGGTTGTCTGAGTATCCTTGCCTTTCAGCACATTATGTTTATTATTACACAAGTTTTAGGAGTGCTATGAAGTTTTGCAGGGAATATTTCATATTTAAATAGCCAAATGCTGATTTACATGTAACTCAATTTCCTTTAATATATTATTGGCTTTGTTCCTTCCTTGTACGGCACATATGTATAGCTCGGCCTTCTACTGAATAGATGTCAAATTCTCAGGCATTTGTGTGCTTGGTCACAGAATCATAGGAAAGTAGGACTGGAAGGGACCTGAGGTCATTTAGTCCAAGGCAGCATCATCCTTATATAAACCTGGACAAATGTTTGTTTAACCTGTTCTTAAGAACTGTGGTAAATCTTTGGTGGCTAGTCGTGCTATACAGAATGTAGAGCTAACCAATGCGTACTGTCCTGAAACCTGTAGTTCTTGCAACTAATGTTCAAGACATTAGTTCTAATGCAGCAGCACAACTCACATTGTTGCAGTATAATAGAACTCTATTCTTTTGCTCAAAGTTTGTTTTTGGAAAGCTGCTCAAAACTCTAACATATGATCTTGCAGCAAAAATATACACAAATAAGCAGGGCACAGTTAATTTATAAAACAAAGGAAATATAAAAATAAGCATTTTCTATAATATATAGCATTACTTAACAGCAAAAGTCAAGAGATCCGACATTTACTATACCAACTGAGCAAAGCACCACATAATGCAGCAAGCCAAGTGATTATTTTGTCTTATTTGTGGTAATTTCTTTTTTCTCTCTTGCCCTCTTTCCTCTTCCCCCCAGGGAAAAATGACATGTGAAGTTTTAAATTTTAAAATATATGCCTAAAGGCTTTGCCATATATTACTTAAGAGTAAGGGGAGCTAAAAGCTCACCTCGCATTGAGACTTGGAAGTGGTGATGTCTGATCCTGTATCTAATAGCACTGGCTTTGGGCATGAAATAGAGATACTGCAAATCCATTAGAGAAGCTAGAAGAGGAGAAAGACCACCCAAGGAATATATAGAGCCCAGAGGGACAAAAAAATACTGATTGATATATGCTGTTAGTGGCCTGTACTCACTGGACAATTGAAGGATTAACCAAAATATAGACAAGTTTGATACAAATCTTAATATTTATTCAAATAATGCACCATAACAGGTCATTCAGAGCATCAGGTCATTATGCTGTGGATGTATAATTATAATGCTCATTTGAGCAGCCTGCCTGCATAACAACAAACACATAGTGAAAAATCCTCAACAAAAGTAACCACAAAAAGTACAACAGTTGCTTGTCAAACCTTACTACTTTAGCACTTTTTACTCCTGTCCATGAGGCTTTTCATTTTGCTTTACATTTGTTTTTGAAAATAACAAAACAGAGCATCCACATTGTGAACAAGTTGCTTGCAAATGCCTATGTTTTTGGCTATAATTGTGTTGGTCTAAGGCAGTGGTTCCCAACCTTTTTTTGCCATGACCCGCTGCTAGGAGTGGAGTGCAGCAGCGACAGTCTGGGGGCGGGGGAGCTCCCAGCACATGGAGCTGTTCATCTTTTGTGTGTGGCGCCGGCAACATTGCCCCCGTGACCCTCATTTGGGTCGTGACCCAAGGCTGGTAACTGCTGGTCTAAGGACACAGGCAGGCAATGTTCTTTGGGTAGATATGCTGTCTTTTATTAGACCAACTCAGTAGTTGTAAAAAAGTTCTTTGCAAGCTGTTGGGCGCAATCAGCCTTCTTCAGGCATAGGAAGTCTCTCCTGAGACTCCTTGGAGGTTTCTGGAGTCTCAAAACAGCAGAGACGTCCTATGCCTGAAGAAGGGTGATTGCGCCTGAAAGCTTGAAAATAACTTTTTTTCCAAATACTTAGTTGGTCTATTAAAAGATATCACATCTACCCAAAGAACCTTTCCTTGCAAATGCCTATATACTTATAGCTCCTGACAACGAGGTATCAGGGAAGAGACATATACTTAATTACTGTTAAACACTCTTATCTGAAATGAGAGCAAACCACTTATTAACAACAATCTTTTTTTTTAATGGACCAAAAAACCGTTGGGTGCAAATGACAAGGTTGAATGGTCACAAAATCCTCCATGACCATTTTAGGTTGGACATAAGGAAGAATATCTTTACTGTCTGAGCCCCCAAGATCTGGAATAGACTGCTGCTGGAGTTGGTTCAAGCACCTACTTTGAATGCCTTCAAGAGACATTTGGATGTTTATCTTGTTGGGATCCTGAGACTCCTCCTGACTTCCTGCCCCTGGGGCAGGGTGCTGGACTCGAAGATCTTCCAAGGTCCCTTCCAGCCCTAATGTCTATGAAATCTATGAAATACTCACATTCGAATTTTAATCCTCAGATTACTGCCATGTGTATGTGACCACCTAAGACTTTGCACTTCTTGTTATGCTGGACCCCAAAGGCATTAGAAATTTCAGAGCAACAGGGCGCGTCTATGTGTGAAATTAATGCGATACAATAAACTCTGGTGTATGTCATGCTGGAGTAGAGTTTAGTACTTCCAGGCACCATGTTTACATGTGTGCCAGGACTGCAGCATGTTGAGCCGGGTTGGAGCAGCTCTGGCTAGCAGAGTCCGGGATGGGGGTGGTGCAACCTATCAGCCTAGGGCTGCTCCAGCACAGCTCAACATGCTGCAGAGGGGCTGGCTTGGGCATGAGGGTGTTCCAGTGTAGGGCTAGCCAACAGGCAGCCCCTGCACTGAAGCACTGTCATGCCCCAGCCAGCCCTGTCAGCATCTACATGTTCATCCCTGCACACTAAATAATGCCACTGTAGGATAGTACTTGTGTTTATTAGTTTGCTATGGCCTAATAGGGCCACACATGTAGATGCTGAGACGTTACTGTGGAGCTAATTAGGCAGCTCCACAGTAAACAAATCATGTAGATGCACCCACTGTGAAGCATTAACTTGTTCTCCTGCTCTGTTATAACAAACTACGCACGTCTGAACTGAAAGATACTTTCTATTAGCTGTAAATAGTTAAGATCCCAGGGCATACTGTAGAACAGTTCTGAGTTAACCAGTAGGCAGCCATAATACACATGCACCTCAGACAGTTTGTGACATTATATCAAAGGGAAATGGCCATAGACTTTGCTAGCAGTACAGGCTTGTCAATACCACCCTAACAGTGCTATTTTTTGAAATAAGGTTAAATACAATATTCTGAAGTAACACAAATGTTCCATCCTTCTACCAGAACCCATTATTTTTACTCAATGGAAGGGTATTGGAATGTCCATTACCTCACAGACTACTGTGGAACCTGACCCCCCACCCCCCAAAGTTTTGGGGGGCTTTTTTGTTGTTGTTATTTTTAACAGACATTATATTTTTGTTCCTAGATATAGCTACATAACTTACTTTTATAAATAAATACTTAATGTTTGCAGTTAATGTATTAACATTTCTGAGTTCTGTTCCATAGTACATATCTATGTGGGGGGTTGTGTATTATATTAGCAGGTTTCATAAAAATATTTATGACAGGCAAGAAGTTTTTGTGATAGCTTTTATTGGACCAACTGTATAGTTGGGAGAGAGATTTACAAGCTTTCAAGTACAAAGCACTTCATGACTGCACCCCAGACCTGAAGAAGAGTTCTTTGTGCCTGAAAGCTTGTCAATAATTTTACCCAGCTTCCAATTAGTCCAATATAAAAATTATCACAAACAAACTCTTGCCTCTTGTGCATTTCCTGGACCGTCAGGGTTACAACACTCTAACCCTATTTATAATTGATTATTTTGGAAACTATTGTACAGAACAGGTGTCAGTGATTTTATCGCCATCTTGACTCAGCCTTTGCTGGGTTGTGTTGACTTTTAGCAATGTTCCTATCCGTTATAACATCAATCTCAAACTGGTTTTATTTACAGAGGACTAAAAATGATCCTGACAGACCTTTATTACTGTTGTGGCCTAATAGACTCCTCCTACATAACCTCTAACATCTCCCAACAAACTGACTTGAGCGGTTAAGCTTTGGCAGTTCATTAGATAAGGAAATTATGTAAAACCACTTTCACTGTGGACACATACACAGAAAATAATTCTGCCAAATGCAATTTCCAGTGGTAGCACAGTTATTTTGTTCCATTTTAGTGATGTGAAATGTCAAAAGGTCGCTCAGTTTGCGGTTTCTCCACAATTACAAAAGCAGCAGCCTGCCTTTTCTGGTCTAAAGTAGTAATAATAATAATAATAATAATAATTAGGTCAAAGTGTATTCACCAGCACAATCCAAAAATTCAAATGTGTATCTTTGAAGCATGTCCCAATATTCTTGGGAGAGAGTTTATAGAATGAATTTGTCTTAAAAAGGCTTATGGTTTGATCCTCAGCAGCATCAACTGAGTTAGAGAACAGAATTGTTATAAGTGGTGCAACACACAGAGGTCATTGTTTTGAATGATTGCTCACAGGAGGAAGGGGAGGAACAAAGTGTGTTTGAGCAACTTCATCTCATTAAATCAGCTCAGCAAGTTGCCAGA